AGACAGATTCCCTGGAAAACAACACAGAATTACATCAGCATATTTCAGATTCTTCACGAATTCTGGTTATTTTGTCACCTTTGACTAAAATCTCAACTTCCTCATGGAGCGGGCGATAAGACCTTGGGTGACCATCTTTGGTGTAAAAATCAGTTCTCAGCTGTTTTCTCGGTTCAGTATGGGGGCAAAAACAGCGCACAATTTTAGAAAGTATCACAGCTCATTCCTTTTTCTGTTCATTCTATGCATAAGCACTTCCAAAAGTTTGCAGCTTCAATCTCAAGCCATCAGGTCACTTCCATTGTGCAAAACCATGAATATCCTCTGTTTTCTACTCCCAAGACAAAGGGAGAAAGAAGGACACAATCCTGCTGTGCAGTGTTGCAGATAGGTGGGTGACAAGATGAAAATTGTATCATGAGCTGAATACGGCGACATCACTTCCCTCTGCTACAGAGGGTCAATGGTAGAAAAGGCAGCCGCAACCTTTTGGACAGAATTCATTATTCTTCCTTGTAGAGCTGCCAATCTTTAAAGCCCATGTTTAATACATGCATTGCCCTGCTGAATTTGCTTGTTTTCCATTCATGCAAATGTCTGCCCTTAACATTGCATGGTATTTCTCTAATTTGAATTGTAGTATTAGAAGTACAGTTCCCTATGAGTAGTCTGGTCCTTCCATAACCAGCAGAAATTCCCAACATCCGTTGCACAAATTTCAAAGGGGCACAATAGGTGCCCTTTAAACTTTTCAGCTAGTCTTCACTGATACAGCAGTGATGTAAATTAAATCTAGGCATAAGGTGAAAATAAGGTAGTTACACACAGAAACTGCATTGAATTATGAGTAAACTATACCTTTAAAATATAAGCATACATTTAGTTTTAGACGATTTTTTTGGCAGTAGGCTGTGCTGTTCCCAAACTTGCTCAGGTCTGGACGAAAATGACATCCAAGATGACTTGTCATTCCAAAACGGCACCCTCATGATCAAATTCGTTGACGCGCTACATGTGAAGGGCTTGGTAAAACTAAAATCTTAACTGACAAGATCAGACGAATGCTGTAAGGCATGTCAAAAGGTATGTATTTGACAATTTTAAAAACTGAGAAAATCTAGCTGGGCAGACATCGACCATAGCTATAGTAGTTGGGTGAAAATCCCACGAATCAGGGAAAAATTTATATTTTTTGCTTTGATATTTGCTAAAATATATACATTAAAGTGTCCACATCAGGAGATAAAGATCAGAGTTGGGAAATACTTATGGAAGAAACAGTATGGAATCATCTTGTTTTGAAAACAGAGATCTTGCTATAATGAATGAATTGAGGGACCCAGTGGATTCTCTCATTATTTGATGTATATCTTTAGAGCACATGACATTTCAAGTTACTCTATGCATATAAGCTCAACAAACTTTCTGACTTATTAACATTAAGGAAATATGCTTTCATGGCAATTAACATCACACTCATGCTGAGATGGTGATCCTCTCATAGAAGAGAGACACTCCATTTCCATTTTGATAAGTATTAACATTTTCAGCTGGTTTCTGGCCAGGCCGTGACAAGCTGTATAATTTCAACATCTTAGGAAACAGAACTATAATTATCAAAACCACTGCAGCCAAACTAAACAGTACAAATTTACAAGAGTTAAATTGAGCAAAAGATGGAACGGACCACTAATGTCAACCAAAAATTATTTATCAGCTCAGACAGGGACTTCAGAAAGGACTATCTAGCTTTTGATGCAATTTCATCTGTGAGTTGGGAAGATACGTGAGTGTAACAGTTCTGTCAAACAGCTACTGTCCTGTATCCTTCACTAATCTGACAAGGAGCAAAAAGGTTGCCACTGCAATAAGATGACTGCGATGAGCATATGGACCTTGTGGACGAAGCTGACATACTGTCTCTGTAAGTTACTGACTGTAAAAGCAGGAAGTTGTGGAATGCTACTTGGATGTCACTGTCTTCCCCACGTACATGTATAGAAAGCAGCAGCCAAATGACAGGATGAACTATCCAGTACCTGTTGGTGAAGGTACATGTTTGGTGAAGGGCATGATAGGTTTTAATGAAGGACAGAGAATTAGAGGCTGATAGGAAGAGACAAACCAGGCTCAGCTCTTGAAAACCCTACAACTCAAATGACCAAGACAAATGCCTGCTCGCTTCTAATACAGATTCTGATGACAAAAAACAAAACAAAAAACATTTAGGCCTAACTCATATAGCTTGTAATGTCTAGAGGCTCTCGTACTGTATAATGACATCAGACCCTTCTCAGCCGCTCCAGCAACGGATGCAACCCGAAAAATTATCAGTATGGATTTTGATTAATAATGAATAATCCAGTAAACGGCTATTGGCAAAAGCAATCAATCGGTCAACCTCTGTATCTTACTACAACATCAGCGCCAAAAGTAAAATAAAATTGTACTTTCCAAAACATTCACCTTCTCTATTCCTCTGTGGTGAAGCTTTTTGAAGCCGACTCATTTTTAAACTAAACAACAACAATCTGTTAATTTACAACTGCATTATATTTGATGGAAGTGACAGAGTAAGTGAAAATGTGAGCAAGACAAGGACTGTTGCATAAATAAACAGCTTTTTAATGAGTCTTTATATACTGCATGAATGTTCCACTACCATTCAAATTGTCAAACATAATTTTTCTTTGAAAAATACAAAAC